CAGAGCGTTTTATTAACAGAACATGACGCATGGTTACAAACAGAGTATTGTTCTGACAGAACAACTGATCAGTTCATGAAGACAGAACAAGGCAGGATGGTCTCCTGACTGAATCATGAGACAGGAGTGGAGCATCCCCTCGCACAAATGTTTCATAAACACACATCAATTTTATAATCCTCATTGAATAAACCTAACAGTCATTAGCTAAAAAAAACACAGATATCCATCGGTGGACAAAGTTCTCAGCAGTAGTACTTGAGTAAAATTATTGATGCTTGTAGTCAAATCTTGCTCAACAAGTAAAAGTTACTCAGTTAAAAATCTGCTCAAGTTGAAGTACTCGCTTTTGAATATACTTCAGTATTCCAAAGTACAAATTGCATTTTCTAAAATCATTATATTTCTGTTTAATTTTTAGAGCAGTTTTAAAGAACAGTGTAACTTTCAGGAAACACCGGTAAAGTTACTGTAGAACTTCAGCATACCGTAAAAATAAAAAAAATATCCACTGGACTTGGTTTCCAAGATGTGAAGACGTTTCTCCACCTCTCCAGGAAGCTTTCTCAATACAAATGTCTGGATCCGCAGTCAGTTTGAGTCCAATCATAGACAGGTTTCAGGTATTACAGGCTAACGATGGAACCAAACGACCCATTCATCGGTTTCCATTTGCATGTTTCCAAGCAATACAAAGTTTTGTCTATATAAGACTCAAACTCACTGCGCATCCAGACATTTGAATTGAGAAAGTTTCCTGCATTGCAAAAACGATCTAGAAATGAGCAAAAATGTCTTAAATTAAGTGCATTTACCATTCATTTGAGCAGGTGAATATGATGATCTGCCAATGAAATTAGAATTTTTACTCTTAAAATAAGACAATTAGAGAATATGCACTTGAAATAAGACAAGGCAACTGTTTTTTCTTATTTTAAATTAAATTTGTCTTGTTCCATTGGCAAAGTTTCTCACTAATCTCCTCAATTAAAAAAAAAATGCACTTATTATAAGAAAAAATGACTCATTTAGAATTAATTTTTTTGCAGTGTGGAGAGGTGGAGAAACGTCTTCAAATCTTGGAAACCAAGTCCAGTGGATATTTTTTGAATTTTTACGGAATGGCTGTGACCGGGATGACTGAAAACCTTCATCAGCAACTTCAGCATAAAAATGGCAAAAAAAATAAGAACGTCTGCTCTGATTTTTATTTCTTATTTAAAAAGAAATGAAAAAGAAATCACAAGTGTCTTGATTCTTCTCACATTTCCACTATGGAATATATGGTTATAGTTTGATCTATTATGATGCAGAAGCTACAACTCTGCTTTGAGAATCCATCCTACTGAACAACTCGGCCACATAGCAACAAATAAAGCGTTAATAAAATGTATTAACTACAAATAATAATCTGAATTAAGTGTTTCACATTTGTGGAACGTCAATCTCTAAGCCAGTGGTGTTCACGTTCAGTCCTTAGTGCTTTAACACTGCAAAAAAATTTAAATCTTAATAAGTAATTCTTTCTTAAAATAAGTGCATTTTTTCTTGAATTGAGGAGGTAAGTCAGACACTTTGCCAATGGAACAAAATCATTTAAAGTAAGAAAAAACAATTGCATTGTCTTAATTCAAGTGAATTTTATCTAATTGTCTTATTGTAAGAGTAAAAATACTAATTCCATTGGCAAATCCTATTACCGTATTTTCACGACCATAAGGCGCACCGTACTAAAAGGCGCACTCTCAGTTATGTGTCCCATTTCTGTATTTAACACACACATAAGGCGCACCGGACTATAGGGCGCGTTTTTTATATACAGGTACATGTCCTCTACTACCTTTAAATACCTCTACTGCATATTTTAAAATACAGCGGGGGCAAAACTGAGTATGACTGTGCTTTATTCATGTATTTATTACAAACTATTAATCAAACCTGGGTGCTGGCCGTGAGAGACACATCAGATGACACAGCTCTGTGATCACTCCTAAATTAACTTAAAATCCTGAAACCTGCCGACGGAATATGTTCGCTTTTATTACCGGTATCCTGGTGCCTGCAGTTTAAATTATTTAGATGAAAAACACCTGCCAGCCACCGCGGTGAACCTGGAGGCTACCCGGCCTAGAGGCTGCTGATGAAGGGATTTCTACTGCCGGTGTACCGCTGGTATGTGGGGGTCTGAGCGCCTCCGACAGAAATAGATAATCTGGATGAATTGACTGCAATTATTAAGTTTTCAGGTAGACTTTCTCACTTAAAAACATATTAAAACTACTTTATTCCCACTGATCACAGCAAATATAGCTGCAAGATTTAGATTATTTAGATGAAAAAACACCTGCCAGCCACCGCAGTGAAGAGGAGGAGACCCGCCCAGAGGCTGCTGTTGAATTAAGTTTTCAGGTAGAAAAATAGAGCGGGAGCAAAACTGAGTATGATTGTGCTTTATTCATGTATTTATTACAAAGTATTAATCAAACCCATCAAAGTCATCATCCTCTGTTTCTGAATTAAACAGCTGCGCTAAATCAGACATGCCAGTTTCCCATTCTTCGCTGTCAGAGTCACTTTCCGTGCAGCGCAGCTCCTCAGAAATAATGCCGGCTTTTGCAAAAGCTTGAACAACAGAGCCAGCAGACATGTTAGCCCAAGCATCTGCAATCCATCCGCAAACGGTGGCGTAACTTGCCCGGCGCTGCCTTCCACTTATCCTGAAACTGTGGTCTCCGTCGGTCATCCATCGCTCCCACGCCGCTCGCAGCCTTACTTTGAACGGCCGCTTCACACTGAGTGTCGAGCGGTTGAAGTTCCTTTGTCAGACCTCCCGGGATAACGGCGAGCACAGCGTTCATTTGATTCACCTTTTTTTTTCACATCGGCTGTGAGATGGGCACGCATGGAGTCACAGATTAACAGCGATGGTGATGCGTGGAAAAAAAAACCCTGGTCTCCTTACATTCACCTGCCTCAGCCACGCTTTCATCATCTCCTCATCCATCCAGCCCTTTTCATTTTCGTTAATATCATATGTCATCAGAGCGCTGTGTCTGTCTCTCTGTCAGCTCCCAGATCAGCTTCTCTGATTGGTTGATGCGGCGCGTCCAGCAGCAAAACTTCAATTTTTCCATCTCGAGCAGCAGCAGCGCGTTGGCGGTGCGTCAGATGCTTAAACGCTCCCGACGCGCTGTGCCTTCTGCTCAAAACGCGCTGCAGGACCTTTTGCTGCACCTATACGCGCGTCAACCATTGACTTTGCATGTAAACTCGCTGCTTCTGCTGCACCTGCTGGGTCCGGTTCACAGCGATGTCGAGCGGTTGAATAACAGCGAGCACAGCGTTAATTTGTTTCCCCATGTTTTTCTCATCAGCTGTGAGATGGGCACGCATGGAGTTACGTATTAACAGCGATGGTGATGAGTGGAAAAAAAACACCTGGTCTCCTTACATTCAGCCACTCTTTCATCATCTCCTCAATGAGGTGGTCTCAAAAGTCGCAGTTACAACACACATAGGGCGCACCGCACCATAGGGCGCACGGCACATTTTGAGGGGAAAAAAAGACGTTTAAGTGCGCCTTATAGTCGTGAAAATACGGTACTTACCTACTCAAATTAAGGGTAAATACACTTAATTTAAGAAATCTTTACTTATTTCTAGATCGTTTTTGTAGTGTATCTGCCATGTTGAAATAACATTTTAGTAAAGAAAAACAGGAACAGCGGATTACAAAGCTAAGCTGAGCCAAAAGGAAGGAGGAGCTAGCAGCTTCCATTCCTAGAAATGTAGCGAACTAGAAATAGTTGACTTTGAAATGTAGTTGAGTGAAAGTTATTAAAAACAACAACAAAAAAAAGAAAAATTTTACTCAAGTAAAGATACTCAAAAAAGGATTTAAGTACAGTAATCAAGTTAATATACTTTTGTTACTTTCACCCCCTGCAAATATCAACATAAACTTTCTGCTACATCTAGATCTAGCTATGTTAATAAAAATAATAACATGATTGGTTTGTTTTTGTAAAACAGTTTATATTGCTAAAGAAATGCAGCTATACCCGTTTTAATTACATGTGTCACCAACTCCCAACATAATTACTTACACTGTTCATGTTGATTGGTTTTAAACTAACTGTGTTCGTTAACCAATTAGAAGTTAGGATGGACCTGAGGGGCCGTGGTGACAGTTTGAATTACCTTTGGGTTCACTGCAGCACTGACACTTGGAAATAATCTAAATCTACTCAGATAAATATAACTTTTAATGAACGTTCTCATGGGACATTAAGGAAAAAATACTAAAATAAGCTATTTGTTTAACATATCAAATTATTAAGTATTTGTTACATTATTGCCACTTTAAATAATTATAATGATTAATAATTATTCAGACTTTTTAGACACAGAGTTTGTACTCTTTACTTTTTCTAAAATTATAAAGTATTATACTACTACCTGAGTAAAATGCTTGTTTTTTCTCCACCGTTGCTGTAACCAATCCAGGCTGATAATGTGAAGTTCTTTCAGTTTACTCTCACTTTAACAACAGTACCAGCATCCACAAAATTGGAAAATTGGTCTTGATAAAAATAAAATAGGTGATCTATTGACCTCCTATTCTGGTTTTAAGGTATTCAGATTTTCCATTTGCATATCTAATGAGAAAGATGCTTAGGAGAACCTTTTAAGGCATCATTTATTTATATTCTAACAAAAGATGCAGAATTACACTGAAAGGGATCAGACAGCAAATCCACACCTTGCTGCTTCCTTCACTTTTAACGATTGTGTTCTTTTCACAAATGCAGACTTAAAGAAAAAATAAGTTTAAAGCACAGTGCAATCGGGTATGGTCCAGACATTTGAACCAATCAACCCCACGTTGGGTCAAATCGCTTCATTCTGATTGGCTCAGCACAACCGCATCTCAATGTAAAGGGATTTGAACCTGATTGCTGTAGAGCCGCTGTTCGTAACAATCTTCTCCTGCACCACAGGTACCCCGGTTACCAGGGTAACAGCCACAGATGCCGATGATCCGGTGTACGGGAACAGCGCTAAGCTCGTCTACAGCATCCTGGATGGACAGCCCTACTTTTCAGTGGATCCAAATTCTGGTGAGTTCATTTTTATGCTTGTATGAATTTTTAAATGTGGAGCTTCATCTCTGTTTTCCTAAAATTTATTTTTTTTGTTTTATCAGATTATTTTATGTGCTTTTATACACTTCAGTTTAGTTGAAAGCAATTTTCCCCTAAATTAAAACACCAGCTTTGATAAAGGATATATTTTTTAACCATAACTGTAAATCAGATGATAAAGGCAGTAGAAACAGTGGACACCTTAATAAATGCATCTTATTTACATCATTATGCAGTAAAGTTTAAGTAAAGTAAAATTTAATCCACCACCGCTGCTAAAATGAAGACATAAAGCAGGACACCTCGATAGAACAAGGAAAGCTCTTTGTACTCCTATTCCTTTCTCGATACGGCCTCACTAAAGTCTCTGTGAGACAGAAATATTCTTTTATTAGACTTAATAGGAGCTTATAATAGAGCTTGGAGACCCTTTGTCAGTTTCTTACCAATGGGGAGCGTAATGTTCTACGAAATTTGATAAATATAAGCCACACCCATAATAGGAGCAAAAAGAAAGAAATCTGCTTTCAGAGTGTGACCCTGATTACCTCTCGATACTCTTTTTTCTTTTTTTTTGCTAAACATTTTTAGAGAAAATCTTTCAGAACATTTCAGAATGCAAGAATTATTCGCTCCCTTTCTTTTTAACCGAGATCACAGTTTTATCTTAGGTGAAGGTGTGCTTTTTAGATGATATGTTTGTGTTGAGGTTCTAAATAAAGTATTTAGTAATATTTCGAAGACATAAAGAAGAGGAACCTTGGTTACTAAATAAAAATTCAATTCAATTCAGTTTATTTCTATAGCTCCAATTCACATCATGTCATCTCAAGGCACTTTACAGTTCAACCAGATCATCCAGTCAAATGGATTCAAAGTTTTCTATCTAAGGAAAACCAGTTGATTGCATTGACTCATTGACTCAAATACAATCCCTCACACTAAGCATGCTTGTAGCGACAGTGGAGAGGAAAAACTCCCTTTTAACAGGAAGAGACCTCCATTAAGAGTAAAATATGTGCAACATGTGATTATCAATAAACAGAGATATCTATCATGATAAAAGAAATGGTCTGTTGCACTGACTTGCTGTCACTGAGATGTGTTATTTACCACTTTGTTTTAATGAAATAAGGGGTAATGTGACGTAGCTCTCTGTTTTTAGTGTAACCCATACTTCAGACTGCTGCTAGCCGCGCCTTTAAACAGGTGATTAAATGGGAACTATTTACCATAAAGAGTTTATTAAATATTATCATTTACAAACAGAACTTTATAAAGTCTAGTCTGCATTCTTGATGCCATTGATTAGTGTAAATAATTCCTGAACCAGACTGCGGACCGGACTCTAGCATGGCTCCACACTGACACTACCTCATGCAAACAACAATATGAAATGCGTGACAAAAAAGAAAACATTCAAGGGATTAAATATCCATCCATCTTCAGACACGCTTATCGCAAGCGGGGTCATGAGGGATGCAGGTGCCTATCTCCAGCTGTCGATGGGCGAGAGGCACCCTGGACAGGTCGCCGGTCCATCACAGAGATAAACAACCACTCATACACACACTCACTAGCCTCGTGAGACCATCCTGATCTCGTGAGCTTTCAAGGTTTCACTCGCAGATCAGTCTGGCTACTTTCCGTTAAAGAAAATTTGGAGCCGTTCACCAAACGAACGTCCAATCAGCGTTGGCTTTGAGGCGCGTGGAGGTGTGACGCAACGAGAAGCGCGACAGTTCAGTCTAAAGAACATGGCGGCTTCAGCCGATGAAACTAGCGTTAGCGTGGCTATCGAGCAAGTTTTATTGGAATTACAGAGTATTTCTTCACTGAAAGAACATAAACGGCAAATATCCTTTGCCGAAATGTTGCTTATTTGCTGAGCTAACGAGCCTTTACCTGCAGCAGCAAGAGTAGCCTAGCTTGTGGTTGTGTTTTCGTCGTCGCTCTGTTAGTACGTCATATGCTTCGTTGATCTGATTGGTTTATTTGGCCCGTCTATCACCAACATAGGCCAATCAGCTAACCAGTATTTTCGCCCCTTCCTAAAATTACTTCAACAGAAGGTTTCCAGATGGATATGCGGAGCAAATCCATCTGGCGGAGCCAGGTTACACACTCACACCTAAGGAGAATTTAGAGAAGCAAATTAACCTAACAGTCATGTTTTTGGACTGTGGGAGGAAGCCGGAGTACCCGGAGAGAACCCACGCATGCTCAGGGAGAACATGCAAACTCCATGCAGAAAGACCCCGGGCCGGAAATCGAACCTGGAACCTTCAGTGCTATCCACTGCGACACTGAGCAGCCTATTGGTTAAATATTTCATTTTTCTATTGCACTTTAGATCCACCTTTTTTATTTAAAAAAACAACAACTTTATTTTCACACTTTAGCTGATGATTTTTTTTTTTGCGAAGTTTAAAGTATTGCAGCATCTGCCTGAGTGTCACAGCTTCTAGTGTTGTTTGCTTTTACAGGTGTTGTTACAGGTTGCAGACAATCAGCAGGTGGAGACACAACAGCTTCCTCACCTTCTGGCCAAAATAAGCTGATCACCTAATTAAACAGTGTACATGTCCTGAAAAAAAAAAATCCATGACTAACCACTTTTTTGACATGGACCAATATGTTGTTCACAGCTCCTACACGGTTGTTTATCAGGGGTCGTATTCGACAGCCCCATAAGGGACGACATTATCAAATGCCTGCTAAAGGAGAGCTGACAGTGTTGGTTTATTGCTTGAAAAGTTGTGTAGAAACAACAGGACTGCAGGTAACTCGGCCCATCTGTTTTGTGAAACGCTTATAGATTATCGCTGCGTGGGGCTGCCGCTAACTCAAGCTGCCAGGCGCAACCGAGACCCCCCTGCTCCTCCATTCGGCTATTGCTTCCCACTCCACCTGCTCACTCATGCACGCTTCAAAATACAAGCCCTTATGCTGGGTTATACATACTGCTACTGGAGCAGTAGAACTGAACCAGGGGTACTCGGTTTAATCTTTATTTCTAAGTGGATATAACGTTTGTTTATGGTCTCTGCAAACATGGGAGACAACATTTTGGGGTCTGCTGCTCCATATATGAAAAAGTAAACACCCACCTTCACATAGAAACCTGGGGGTAGAATATCATTTCACTATGCACCTAATCAAAAGTTACAAATTAATACAATAGATTTAATAATATTAATCTAGACTGATTGATAGATGGAAATTTATGTTGTTTATATTTGTAACAACATTAATATTGTTTTTTTCTATATAGAAGGTGAGCATCTGTATTTCTTGCATATTAATGAATCTAAGTTTAAGGAAATCTCAATTTGCTTTGATTTAAAATGATCCAAAGACCAAAAGAGTGACAATCATCTTTTCTTATTGTTTTCATTTTAAGACTTAAAGTTTTGCTCATTTGAGGTTGTGTTTCACTGTTATTTTCAGTGTACAAGCAATCAGTTAAGGCGGAGGTCTTCAACAGGGGATCCGTGACCCCTAGGGGGTCCTCGGAGGTACGGCATGGGGGTCACGAAAGTTTTGGTTGATTAGACTTCTTTTTTTCCACTAAATGAAATGTCTTTAAATCCACATTAACATGAATTCAACACACTGTAGTAAACAGATAAATGGGGGCTGAAGATGTCTTTCAGATATCAATGCCAGTGGCAGTTCTAGACCAAATGTACGAGGGGGCCAGGAGGGGGCCAGTGTGTTTTCATGGGGGGCACAGAAAAGCAAAAAATAAAAAAACAGGGCAAGGGATTCAAATATATTAAGAGAGCTGCATGAAATGAAATTTCTATTCAATTAGGTTTAATTATTAAAATTCTAGTTCTTGTTAGATCAATAGACAATCATACATTTGAAATTTTACATATTTTTGACTTAATTTGAGTTAAAATTACGTTTTTTTTCTTAAAATCTGAATTAGAACTCAAGAAAAATGGATAAATTCTGCCGCAAAATTTGAGAATTTTTTTTGAAAAAAATAACATTGAGCAGATGAAAACTGGGATGCTATCTCAACACCACTGAAGCTATAACTTTATTGTTTTTAAATAATTAGTAAAACAGAACTTGTATAGAAAAAAAAAATAGATCCCAAGGGCCTATCAGTAATCATGTCTGTTCCAGCAAATATCATCATTAGAATTTCTTTAAATACTATGTTTTTAGTACAAGGGCCATAACAGGGTCCAGGACATGATCTACAGGGGAACTGGCCCTCGTTGGCCCCTGTCTAGAACCGCCCATGATCAATGCACACATTTAGCAACACACAGGAGCTCTTTCAAGCTGGGCACTGTTTCATTCACAACACCTGTCCCATAACCAGGAATCAGAAATACTTTATTAATCCCAGGGAGAAATTACTTTAGTTACATTACTCCATCTGTAATAGAGTGACTGTAGGACCAGTTTAATAGAACACTATTTCATACAATATTAGGGGGTCCCCGCTCCATCTCGCCATCGATTTGGGGGTCCTTGGCCTGGAAAACATTGAAGACCCCTGAGTTAAGGTATTAAGACTGATCAGTATTAATATACAGCATTTGTAAACAGAGATGATCAAATATAGTCCTTAAAACATGAAAACAGTCTGACAGCACAGCTGCTGTAATATGAAGTTTAAAAACAAAAAAATAACCAGCATAGTTATAATTCCTAACATTTACAGTTGTAATGTTTTCTAACATTTACAAATTGCAGATGCTCTTTAAATAGGCTTTAAAGCTGAAATGGGTAAAACAGCATCTTGTTCCTAATGCTATGAGTCTTCCTTGTATCTGCTTAAGTCAGATCTCGGTAGCTCAGCTCCTTCAAGCACCCAAAAAAGACAGACATGAAATTAGGGCTGGGATGATTGATGGGATTAACTTTGATCAACCAATTATATCTAATAATCGAGAACTAATTTGGTAATCAATTAGAATAATTTTCTTGAGTAATGGTACAGACTCTTAAAG